GAATTCCACCTGGTAGTAGTATCAAGAATTGGTTTCAGTACATTTATATTATTGATTTGACATGCTATTTTAAACTTCTTGCGAAGTATTCATGAACCTCTAATACTTTTAATTAATGTTTGCAACTTTTCAACCTCATTGCCTATATGCCCAAGCAAACTTTGCATTGTGAGATTTAAAATATAACTGAAACATCAAATTGATTGTTGTGTGTTATCAAATTGTATTCCATTTTGTCTTACAGAGTTTGAAAATATACTTAAAAATGTAATATTGGATAATGCATTATTATATGTAATTGCAACTAGCTTAGAAATCACACCTATCAATTGAAGACATTTTTCAAATAAATTCGAAATTGCTGCACTAGTATGTACTTCATCCATGTGAACAAAATCTAACAATAAATGTTTCATATGCTATAAATTGTTTAGAAAATGAATTGTAATTACCATAAATGATTTTTCATATGTGCTTGTTGTCCATATATCAGTTGTTAATGAGACACCTTCTGGAACTTCTTGTAATTTTTTTTGGATTATCCCATGTTCAAATTCAAAAATATTCATTAATTACCTTTTTATTGAACCAGCGAAGGGCACTAAATAAAGATATTTGTAATTTAAGTATTATATTACACAAAGTATGCTATAATAAGATATATATTAATATTAATAACTTACCTTTTGCTTCAGGTTCTAAATACAAAATTATTGATTTGAATCCATTATCTTCAACCAAAAAAATGGTTGATTGTGCTTAATTATCCATTGCTTAATCATAATAACAAGTTTCCCTTGATCAATTGTTCACGATGATTACTTTGTTCATTTTTCAACATATCTGTAGATTTTTTTTTAATATTCAACTCTGGCACCTTATTTATATGATTGCAATATTTAAGATGCTTTCTGAGATTAGAGGTTGAACCATCTGAATATGTCAATGATATTCTACAAATGTTACATCTGGCAGAAGATCCATGTTTTTTAAAGTACTTCTATACTAAAGACCTATCATTCGTAATAGCAACAGATTCTAACCCTAGATCAAACGTTGACTGAATAGTCATAGTTTTACTATTCTCAGATTTAAATGATAGTAATGATGGTGATAAAGAAGATAAAATTTCCATGACAACCTATATAAAAAAATACAGTTTTAATTTTTTCTTTCAAATTAAATATTACGAGTTATTAACCAAGTTCACTTACTAATTTACACTTATATACGGCTAATTCACAACAAAATTCATACAATAATTTAGTCAAACTTTTTTTTTATATCAGGTGTGAAATCAGAAATAGTAAAAAAAAAAAGGTCCAGCTATCAGATCGCTTTGGGTTGGATGTCAAGGCTACTTTTATTGATATCTTGATTCAAAAAACTATTGCTATCTGAATTTTTATATCTTTTTTTTTTGTTATGTAAGATTACGTATGGCAGGTATTACTGATTCAGATATGAATCGAGTTTTGGAACTAATATTATGATGGAATCAGAACCGAACTGGGTATCAGATCCGGATCAGATCCGGATCTTCAGCTTGGTTCTGTAGAACACTAATCCAACCTTCAATACTTCACTTTTTCATAAAAACAAAGAACATGCTGCCTTACTTGACCAACTCATCCCTACTAAAGCCCTTGACAAATTAGCAGACCAGGCTGAAGATTTTGTTTGTAAACAAAACAAAGTCAAAACAAATTCCAAACATCATAACTATTATTTTTACTGTTATCTTTCTTTATATTACCAAACTGCTAAGAAAACTACAATTTACAATCTCTCTCCAAGGAAGAGACAATTAATTTACTAACCAAAAACATTATTGATACAAATTTCTCACCCAAATTATTACCTACTTTGATGTTGTCAAAAATTAAAAATCAATATACTTAAAAATTGTTAAATACTTCAATAATACTGCTTATCCAGCAGCTGAAAAATTTTTAGCAAAAAAATTCAATCTAAACTTCCAACCTGTTTTCATTCTTGACTCTCTTTTTTTATAATCTCCTTTTTAAGTTCTTTGTCTTCTACAATACATATTGAAGCAGCTACCATCTTATTAAAAGATACAACCATTGTAGTTAATAAGAAGAATAATATAAGTAGGCAGGTGGACAAGCCTATTTATATGAAAGGCCAGGATAATAACAGTCAGACTCAACATATAGGGCAGACTATAGTACCTTGTACAGCTGTAAGAGCCAAGCATGAGTGATCAACACTATAGAAGACAATTTTGAAAGATTATTTACAACATCTTTAATTCCTTATAATCTTTATACATGTTTTAACAAATTTCTTCTTTATTATCATTTACCACTTCTCCCTCATAGTCAAACTATCCAAACCCTAATTCAACATATTGACAAATATACCAACAACAAAACTGTATCTAGTATTACATTTTCTGTTAATTCATCTTATAGTGAAACTCACATATATCTTCCTAATAACACTTTTTTATCAGATCATACTGTTATTGTTCCATATCTTCTTCCTATATTCTATAATCTTCCTCTCAGATCTAACTTCTTCAATCCTATTTCTATCCCATCTGATTTATTTTTTAATAACTATTCTCCAACCCTTAATTGTAATTCTCTCTCAATTTTACCTAACCTATCTTCACATCATCTCAATTTAACTATTGCTACACACAATGTTAGAGGCTTCAATAAACCTACTAAAAGGGAGCCATAGCAAGATTACTGCCTTAACTATAACATATTGATTGCAAGCATTACAGAAACTAAAATTTTTAACAAAACTAACCTCTTCTTTTGCAATAATAACTTTTTATTTATTATTGGTCTAATTCCCTTATTTCTATTGAAGGCACTGCTATTACAATCTGTAACAATCTTAAACCTTACATCCATAGTATTCATACTCATCTTGAAGGTGCTATAGCACTTGATATTTTCTTTTGAAGTAATATCAAGCTCTGTATCATCTTAGTTTATTTGTCATCAACTGATATTACTACTTGTAACCAAACTCAAAATACTGTCATTAACTGGATCCAACAAGTCTCTCAACTTCACTTTCTTCTTATTATTCTTGATGATTTCAATATACAAGATAATACACACAGCTCCTCATCTAAATATAAACTTATTAATTTCCTTAATAATACCAACATGTACAATATTGAAGCCTACCTTAACAACAAACATTCTACCTGATCTAACAATACTAGCAGTAGTCATATTGACTATATTTGGACTGACTAATTCAAAATACAATTTCTTCTCTTTTACAGCCTCGATAACTGCCAAACCTTAACTCTAGTGACCATTTAATTCTTACCTCCACATGGACATTCCCACATGCCTACAGCAAACCTTTACATAAACATACTGTTATCAGTCATCACATCTTTAACTACAAAATAATGTCTGCAGAGAACTGGGAAGCTTTTGCAGACACCCTATTCCAACAACTTCTATTGTACAAAACTCCTCTTAATAATGAATCTGATAAAAGCATTGAAACAATTTGGCACAAAATTCAATGCTCTATTATCTACTTTGCTACTTAAACTATTCCTAGTAAAGTCTCTCACAAACATAGCTACAATCATTAATACTCACCTCACAGTACTCTATTACATTTATCTTTTAAAAAACTTGGTCACATAATTAAACTTGTTAAAAAACTCATCCAAAATTCTGACATCTTCAACATTAATCAAAATATCTTCCAAATTAACAAACAGTCACAATGTGACCTTCAATTACTTAACTCCACCAATTCATCTTGTATTCAACTTTGGCTCCAATATGCTTACTCTATTTGAAAACAATTTTTTTATGCTTGTCATCTTGAAAACTCTCTCTTACTTTGACAACAAATCAACAAAGCTACTAACAAAAGATGTAATACTCTTACATCACATCCTACACAAGCTATTAATAGCATTCTTAATTACTATCATTAACCTGTTCATTTCTCTAATATAAAATTGTCCAACGAGCTCATAACTGATCCATTACTTATTAAACAGCATGTTCAATCACATTTCCATGACTGGACTGCATTCAGACCCATTAATGAAACTCTTTTTGACAATTTTTGACAACAACATTACCTCCCACTACCTTATATTAATCCAACCTGGTACCAATCTCTTAACTCCCCAATTACTAATGAAGAACTCTCTCAAACTCTCTCCCAGCTTTCTAATAACAAAGCTTGTGGCCCTATAGGCATTAGTTATGAAATGCTTATACACATCAGCTCTGAATACACTTCTGCCATTACTAGTCTTCTTAACCATTGTCTTCTTAAAAATAGAATTTCTAAGCAATAGAAACATAGCAGAATTTACCTTATTCCTAAATGTAACTATTTTGACGATGATCTCAATCTCACTCAACCAATTAGTCTTGTTGAACATATTCGCAAACTATATACCAAAATTCTGACAAATAGACTAAGTACTATATTCTCTTTTAAACCTATCCTCTTACCTTTTAATTATGTTGCACTTTCTAACAATAGCACTTCAATCCCTATTCACATTCTTAATAACCTTATTAAAAATGATACTTGTAACTACAAGAACATTTGGCTACTTTGACAAAATATGAGTAAAGCATATGACATTGTGTTAACTTTACTTTTTTTAAACATTCACTCTCTTGTCTGGCACTTCCTTCTTCTATTATTAATATCCTTTCTGACCTCTTAACTAACTATTACAATCAAGTTATTACTAATCTTGGCCTTACTTCCTCTTATTCTGTTCACAATTTTATTGATCAAGGTAAAACAATTACTTCCCTATTATGGCATATATACTATGATCCACTTATCTCATACATATATACACAATTATCTGGTTATACTCTACAATCCTCTTGGGCTACTAATCTTAAACTCAAAACATTTAACTCATTACAAAAACAATGCTCTGTTTTGGCATATATAAATAATACTCTTTGAGTTGCTTCATCACAAATTGAGCTTTCCAACATATTACCCATAGCTGAATCATTTTATGCTATAGCTAACATTCAAGTCAACCCTACAAAATCGATTCTGGTTATCAATAACTTTTCATCCAACTATATCCCTAACTCCTATAATAATCATCTTCTTTCACTACATTCTTCTAAACAACCTTTTAAATTCTTAGGTTGCTAGTTCACTTTGGACAATAGGCAATCTAAACAAACAAAACTACTCATTGCTGAATTCTCTCAACTTATTCAAATTGCTAAAACCAAATGTATTACTGATTCACATGCCCACTATATTATTAACACAGTTATCATCTCTACTCTCGAATATCATCTTCAAAACATTGTAGTTAGTTAACCTACCTGCAATAAAATCTTTACTTAGCATATTGGTCTTGTTAAACTCAAGGCCAAACTCTGTCATACAATACCTTCTAGTACCCTCTTATATCCTCAAATTTACAACATTAAACATATCTAAGACATCCAACTACAATACCAAATCTCTAATCTTCTCAAACAACTTAATAACTCTGAGCTATTAGGTACATCAACTCACATCTAAATTCAACAGTTACAAAAACACAATCACTGGCCACTCAAACTCTTAACA